TTAGCACTGTAAACATGTTTGACTCCTTTGGGACTGTCAGAACAATAGTCATGTAAGAAGAGCATCCATGATGTTAAGCCGTGTACTTTATCAACAGTATGTGTAACCCAAGTTTGACAAAAATAAGCAAAGGAAGGCGCCAGGTGGCGCTTTCCTTTGCTTATTTGACGATAAAAAACATTAGAAAAGTTTTGAGACAGATTAAATATTAAATAGTGTACTGGTGAATTTATTCCCAGATAATTTTTCCATTTTGTCAGATCACATTGCAGTATTTTTACCTAAAGCGAAAAATTAACAGCCACTCCAGGTGACCGGATTGATCGGCCCTCACTGGTGATCGGAATTGGTAACAAAAAACCTAATCAGTGCATATTTATTAAAACCTAATAGCCTGAGATTTGATTGTTGCTAACTAGCTGGCTAATTACATTTTACCCCTATAGCTAGCATGTTAACTAACTATGAAAAATGATCAAGCTATATTGCTCACTAGAGAAAATGCTAATTTAAACATGTTTCTTACATATGATTGCTTTCAATACTTGTATAGCATTTTGGGTTTTCATTCATATTTAAATATATATAGAATGTGATTCAGTCTTTCTTATCTTGATCAGAGGAAAGATGTGTGGACTTTGTGGAAACTTCAATGGAAATCCAAATGATGACTTCCACACCCCAAGTGGAGCATTGACCAAACTCAGCAGATGCTTTGGGGCCTGCTTGGAAGGTTCTTGGGAACTACACTGCAGTGACGGCTGTGGCTCTTCATGCGCACAATGCAACGATGATCGATCCGCCAGGCCCAGTGTGAGGTGATCCAGGCAGCTGATGGCCCCTTCAGCTTCTGCCACGAGGAAGTGGATCCAGCTCCATATTTCAGTGACTGCGTCTTTGATGTCTGCGTGTCGGGAAATCGAGGCAGTGATCTTCTGTGCAGGGCTCTAGAGACATATGTCAGTGCCTGTCAGTCTGCTAACGTCCGAATCTACCCTTGGAGGCAAAACACCACTTGCAGTGAGTATGGAAGGCAGTGTGCTATTTAAGTACTCAATCAAAAAAAGTATCTTCCTCAAAAGTCTCTCAAAATATGATATTCTATGTTTGAGCTTGTTTTAATCAACTTGTCCTTCTTTTCCTCAGGACTTGAGTGCCCAGCCAACAGCCATTATGAGCTGTGTGGAACAGACTGTGGCAACACCTGTACCAGCAGCATAGATGCTGCCTGTGACCATGTTTGCTCTGAGGGATGTTTCTGTGATGAAGGTTTTTCCAGGAGTGGAACAAGCTGTGTGCCTCTGGAAAGCTGTGGCTGTCTGCATGATGGCTTTTACTTCAATGTAAGTCATTTCAATTCAATGCATGCTTGATTATTTAGCGGACAGTCAGCACATAAGTGTTAATTCATCTTTTTGTGTTGCCTTGTTGTTCAAGGCAACAACACAAACATAAAGCCTCCTTGTGTGACATCTCATAAAAGTTATCTGCCAAAATTAAAAATATATATATTTATGCACCTCCTCAAGTCTCCTTGGTACAATCCCTAGGTGTCTGAAATTGGCCTGTTCTAATAATTATTCAAGGACAGTTCTATTTACCAGAGGCAGAAGAAGATGCTCAATGAAGCTGGACTGAATGGTCAGCAAGAGAGGACGTAGCCATTGGTACAAAATTAACCTAAAGAGCAGAATATAATTAGTATAATTAATTCCAAATGCAACTCGCCATGAAGGGACTGGTGCCCTTTACCAATTAAAAAGATATAATGTGGAATGAACATAAATGCATAGACATCTTCTACACATTATACAAGTTTAAAAGTTGGGGTTTTCATTCCAGATTCCACCTGAGACATTACACAAATTTGTTTGGTACAAAGTCTAAAAATTCATCCAGTAATTAACAAAGCCTTAATAGTCAGGAAGCAGTGGAAACTTGGCAAAGGTGGATCATGAATATTGCAGTTTTGCAGCTTACTATTGTCATATACTTTTACTATTCTTGCAGGCTGGTGAGTCCTTTTGGACAGACGGTTGCTCCCAACTGTGTGAATGTCATGCATCCAATGTCCTGCTCTGTAATCCCTCATCATGCACTCCTGAACAAGAGTGCACCATCAGAGAGGGCCAGCTAGGCTGTCACGATGCCATGTCTACCTGTACTGTGTGGGGTGACCCACATTACATCACCTTCGATGGGGCCCTAGCTCATTTTCAGGGATCATGCTCCTACGTCATCACTGAAAGTTTGAGCCACAGCAACAATGAAACTCAGTATAAAGTCGTGGCCACCAACAAGCACAGAGGAAACAACTTTGTGTCTTTCGTGTCATCAGTTGATATATACCTCTCAAATCATCCAGAGAGTGTTCATGTTAGGCTCGGATCTAGCAATAGAGTGAAGGTAAGTTTTATTTTAAATTACTGATAAAAAGCTTTTTTTGTTTGTTTTAAATCTTCAGTCTTACTTTCTGAACTTTCATCATAACAGGTAAATGGAGCTGAGGTTTCTCTACCCACCACTGCAGGAAATTTTGGTCAGGTGATGAAGCAGGGAAATTACATAGTGTTTGATGCTGTTGATGTCATAGTCCAGTTTGATGGCTCTAGTACTTTACTGGTCAGGATGGGCCGCAACTACCAGAACAGAGTAAGTGGAATGTGTGGGAACTTCAATGGTGATCCCACGGATGACAAAGTTTTGCCAAATGGTACATTGGCAAAAAACGACAACCAGTTTGGCCACAGCTGGAGATCAGAGACAAGCCAAGCAGGGTGAGCTCAGACTTTTCCATAGTTACCCTAAAAAATCTCAACCATTGCAAACATTTGTTCAGAAATTAAAAATGTTTTAAATATCTAACAACTTTTCTAGATGCGAATCCACTGATGAGAGAAGCGATAATGGACTGAGTGACTGCCGCTTCATAGAAGAATACACAGAACTGTGCAGCGTCATCACCAACACCAGTGGCCCATTCAGTTCTTGTCATCTGTATTCTGACCCCCAACCATTTTTTACGTCCTGTGTTTACGATCTCTGCTTCTACACGTCCACTAATGGGATGCTGTGTTCTGCTGTATCTGCTTATGAGAAAACTTGCACCGTCTTGGGTCTAATCATCCCTGACTGGCGCTCTCCTTTGGATTGTGGTATGTTTGTTTGGTTCACTACATTATCAGAACAATGACATGTTAGTCATATGTGATGAATTTCCTTTTTCATTTGTGATATCATCATTTCAGATGAGAGTGACCCCTGTGATCAGCTGGATTGTGTGGAGTATGAATGGTGTGGTAAGAAAGATGGTGTGTACGGCTGCTTCTGTGATGAGCACTATGATAGATCCAACGATGAGAGCTATGGTAAGGGAAAAACTTTAACGTTTTTAATATTAAAAGAGGTAGCAATAATTACATTGCATTGTGAAACATGGTTTGCTCATTAGTACTTCATAGTTGGTATTTTCTAGGTTTCAAGCATTACCTTGCCATTGAATCAGAGTGGGCCATGTTCTGTGCCTCCATTGTCGAGGGAGCTTATGAGAGCTGTGGTCACAAGGTTGTTGGGATCAGTCATGGCAGCAACCCTTGAACCTGTTGGTGGAGACCTTCAGTGAGCAATGGTGTCAGGCTGAAGAATTAGACCTATTGAGTATTTTTGCCTCGGGGACCCCAGAAGCATCTGATAGGTACTGATATTTCAAGTGGCATGCGGTTCTGATGGTTACTGAGGCAAGAACTTGGGAGGGGGAGGAGTTTGGAGAGGCCACGGAAAAAAAACTTCTGCAGGACTTTGAGGCGGCATTGTGGGCTGGTGGGCAGAATATTTCGAAGACCTTAATCCCACCAACATGCCTTCCCTTGAGGAAGTAGAGACTGGGGACTCTTGGTTAGACTCTCCAATCTCTGGGGATGTGGTCGCTGAGGTTGCTAAAGGGCTCCTCAGTGGCAAGGCCCTGGGGGTGGACGAGATTCGCCTGGAGTTCCTTAAGGCTCTGGATGTTTTAGGGTTGTTATGGTTAATGCGACTCCCCCCAAATTGGCAGACCTGGGTGGCGGTCCCCTGTTAAAAAATGGGGACTGGAGAGTGTACTTCAATTAGAGGGGTCACATTCTTAAGTTTCCTTGGCAAGGCCTATTCAGGGGTCCTGGAGAGGAGGGTCTGTCAGATAGTCTAACCTTGGATTCAGGAAGGGTAATATGGTTTTTGTCCTGTCACGGAACACTGGACCAGCTCTACACCCTTTACGGGGCCCGGGAGTGTGTGTAGGAGTCAACATGTGTTGGAGAAGTCGTTCGACCGTATCCCTTGGGTAGCCCTATGGGGTGTTCTCCTGGAGTATGGGGTACCGGGCCCTTTGATAAAGGCTGTTAGGTTCCCTTATGACCGGTGTTAGAGTCTGGGCCGCATTGCCGGAAGTCGGGCTTGTTTCCAATCAGAGATAGTATGAGAAGTTCAGTCATCCGGGAGGGTCTCAGAGTAGAGCCACTTCTTCTTCACATCGAGAAGAAGAAGTGAAGAAGTTGAGGTGGCCCGGGCCTCTACTTAGGATGCCTCATGCTGGATAAGCAGAAGAAGATGGATGGAATATCTTGAGAAACTGGACTCAGTATAGCATTGTTGTTATTTGTATAAAGTTGCTTGTCACTTTTCTCTCTGTATTTGTAGACAGTCAAATGTGTTCCTTTTTGTTTATAAATTACTGGGACTATTTCCCTCTTGTTGACTCCATTTATGGTAAATCTCACATCCGGTTTGAAATTTGGGTGCAGCTTTTTTTGCATATGTTGTGCACAGAGATAGAACAGATCTTGCGAAGTCATCATTTAAATGTTGCCCCCTATGCTTGGACTCTTCCAGGAAGAGTATAAATTGACAGAAGTGACACTTGGTGAACTAAAAACACTACTGAATGACCATGAAGAAGAGAGTTTTAACTGCCGTTGCTTTTGATATTCATTTTTTCATTAGTTGCTTTTATTATTGTATGCTTTGATGCTTTTAAAACTTAACATGTTTCATTGAATGTAAATGACGATTCATGTAAATGGTGCTGCTGTCTTATCAGGTCCCCGTTGAAATAGAAATTATAGATAGTTTTTTTTCCCATCTGAGTAAATAAAGCCTAAATGTTTCTGTCTTTGGTGGGCAGATGCAAACATTGAATGCTCCAGCAGTTCTGGCACCATGTCAGTATCTCGCTGCCAGCTGTTTGAAGCGGGCTTCCACTCCAGTGCTCTCCATCTCCAAGACAGATCCTGCAATGGGACTCTCCAGAACGGACGACTCATCTTCCATTTTGACAATGACGACCATCTGTGTGGTACAACCCTTATGGTAAAGTTAATGAATTAGAACATCTTCTCTAAAGCTTCAGCTATGTTTCTTCAGTTGATTGATTTCATTTTGTCATTGTTAGAGAAATGGAACTCACTTCATGTATGAGAATACTATTCAGGGGAATGGGACCAACCATCAGAAGAATCTTCATCTGCGTTTCTCCTGTGTTTACCCTGTGGCTCAGGCTCTCTCAATGGTTGTGGACATCAGCCCTGTGGAGAGGTTTTGCCACAATTTTATCTGTTTGCTTCCTTTGAGCATTGTGTCCAATTACACTTATGTTTTAATTGATTATTATTTATAATGTAATCCTGTAAGCAAATTAGAGTAGATTTAAGAGTAGTCATAATAAATGCATATTCTACAGCATTCTGAGGAAGAAGCTTCCTATTGGCACTGGGTCGTATCGTATGAGGATGATCCCCTATGAGGATGAAGGCTTCCTCTCCCCCTTCAGCGCAAATGGACACATAGAAATGGATGTTGATGAGATGTTTTACTTGGAGGTGCGAACGGAAGGGGTGGATCAACGCCAATTTGTCACAGTTGTGGACTCTTGCTGGGCCACGCCAGTCAACCAAGCAAACTATCCTGTCCGCTGGGATCTCATTACATCACAGTAAGTGAGATCATATTGTTGTCTTCATAATTTAATTCAGTGTCTTCTTGCTGTCAGTCTAACTGATCCATCTGCTTCTGCTTCACAGGTGTCCTAGTCCAGAAGATGGAACCGTAGAGATGATTCAGAACGGTGTCTCCACTGTATCTCGTTTCTCCTTCAGGATGTTCACCTTCACCAACCACACACAAATTTTCTTGCACTGCAGTGTCCACTTGTGTCTTTTGAGAAACAACAACTGCAGAGCTGTAAGTTTTTTTGGTGTGCTTTTTATGGCAATATTGTGTATGATCAAGTTGAACATCTTCAGAGGCTTAAAATGTTGCTGACTTGCTTTTATTTTACAGCACTGCTACCCGGATAACCACATTCTAATCCGGAGGGACATATCTTACCATGACTCTGGAGCTCTGTCTATTGGACCACTGGTACTCGGGGCACCACCAAACACTGGTAAATTTCTATCATATCTTCATTATTTTGTAATTACAAAGATCATATTTCAATTGATTCACAAAATCTATTCACATCTCCTTTTCACACAGGTGGACTAATCCAAAGAAACAGTGCTGTGGCTCATCTGACATCAATTGTTACCGTGATTGTCAGTTTGCTGATGACCAGAATTCTGGTCAATTGATAAAGAATAATCACACTCTAAGATCAAGTAAAAGTTTTTAATAATTTATGTTGGTAGGAGGTGTTTTCAAGTAATTTTGCTTTTATACAATCTGATGCACCATTGTGTTTTTCACCATTTGTGGGATTAATATAATCAGTTTTTTGTTTCTTCTGTGGATTTTATCATCATTAATTGTTGGTAACAGCTGAGAGAGTAAAATATTAACTGTACGGTTGGATTAAGTTAAGGTTACATATATGTAAAAAGTTAGTGTCTGAAGCAATCATCTCAGTGTTGAACTGAGTTTAAGAATGATTTAAGAATGATTTTATCCTTGTCTAAATTCTGTTTAAGTATTTAAATATTTATATATGGTATTAGATACATGTACACAACTATAAAAAAAAGAATAAAGGAATTCAAATTAATGTGATCATCAGCCTTTTATGCTTTTTGCTTTTGATAAAAGCCTTAATAAACAGTATGTTTGGTGTATGGCATGTTCTGACTCATTACCAAAGGTTAATTTGTTTTTATGGAACATTAGCAGTTATAAAAATGGTTTATAGTCATCACTTTGGAGGAGTGATCACTATGCCAGCGGGCCTGAGTTCTCCCAAATGATGCAAATCCAGTGAGGCAGATGTTCTTCAGCCTACAGTGTTCTGGATCACTAGTCTTTTCTGTGGTAATTTGGGAGGAGTCACTATGGGTTCAGTTGAAAAGCTGACCCCCAGCCACTACCTGGTGCCGATCCCAGTTGCACCCTTTGTCTTTTTGTGTCATTTAGCATCATAGCAATACAATGGTTTCCAGACTGGATCTTGCACGCTGGTGAAACAAAACATCTTCCTAGCCTCCAACAACTAAACTGAATCCTACAATATAAAAATCTTTTAGAAAAAAATCTTTATGAAAATCTCTGCATTAGCTTGTAGAGAAGGCAGAAATTGAGATAATGACATGCCAGAAAAGCATGGTGCTATGCCTTTTACACCCTGGTCATTCAGGCCAATTCAATTCAGTTCATTAATATATAATGCCATTTCACACCACATATCTCGAGGAACTATACAAAGTAAACAGATTAATTTCCTATGAAGACATATATCATCATGACCAATTAAATCCAGGGAATAGATTCAAGTTTAATTCCCCTGTCGATCTTAAAATATTAAACTGAATGAAATTAAGAAGAATTTTCTCACTGTTTAATTTATATCTAAGGATATTTTGTGTGGTGGGAAAAATACTCAATTTAAAAAAGCCTTGCATGCTTTTTACTGTTGATGAAAGCTTTAATAAACTCTACATTTTGGATCTGACATGTTCTGTATTATATTTTATTCAGTTATGGATCTTAATAGCTTGTTGTTATGGGACAGCTTGTAACATCAACTGTTGTAACAATGGCTTAATTCTCATTATCATTAGTTGTTGGTAAACATCTGTAATTAGACCTGATTTTTGTCCCTATAATATTTAATGAGATGTTATAATTATTATATCATAGTTTTTTTCCTTGTTATAACTCAGGGAGAAGGTGGAGAGCTGGTCTTCAGCCACTAGATGGCGGGAGAGCAAAGCTGATCTGACAAAGATTACCAGCAGATCTAGCCAGACCCAGTCCTTGGGTTTTTGCGGCGCTCGTGGCTCATAGTTTTGACAGTAGACAGATAGGAAAGAGGGGAAGACATGGGCAAAGGTCGCCGGCACCGGGAGTCGAACCCGCGACGAGGACTGAGGCCTCCAAACGTGGGGCGTGCTAACCCCTGCACCACCACAACACACCCCTAATATTTTTAAAATATGAAGTTTATATGTTATATACATGATGGGGTAAATATATATTCTTTTTCTTCTTCATTTGATTGTCTATTCTGTGAGACAATAAAATGATTTTCTATTCTGGATGCAAAATAGAAGAGTTTGAAACTCCTAAGTCTTCTGTCAAACCTACTTGGGACAGGACTTGTCCCATCATTTGCTGCCATGGCATCACTTTGTCATCTTCTCCTTTGGAGACAACACTCATTACAGGGGCTGCTCAGCACATTGTATTGCCTTTTTGATGAAAATGTGCTACAAAAACAAAATAACCTTTACACTTACCTTACCTTCAGACAGCAGATTTAGTAAAAGTAAGAGAAAGTAACCTATTTTTTGTTTGTATTTAAAACATATTTACTTATTACTACTATAGGTTCTGAAGAGAAAGTGAGATGTCCAGGTCAAGGGAAAGAAAGAAAGCTGAGAGGGAAGTCAACTATGTAGGCATGTGAAGGAGAAATATGAGTGACAGCTTGTTGACTTTTACTAGCTGCTGAGGACCCAGTGGATCAAACTGGATTCCCTCATGAAGTCCCCTGTGTGGTGTATTGAAAGAGTCAGAGAGGAAACTGTCTGACGTTTGACCCGCTTATTCCCCATTTTCCAGACCTGATGTCAGCCCTGTTGACCACCTGCGAACTGCTGCAAAGAGAGTAGTAAAATCTAAACTTGAGACTTTGTTCTAAAATCCATACATTTTCTCTCTTTCCATTAATACCAGGAATGAATCAAACATTCTGATTTAAAAAGTACAGTCAAAACCTTAGTGGTATTGCACAGCTGTTAATATGCTACTCTGAATATTAGTGATGTGCTTGTTAAATCTCAGTTTTTCAAACTGAAGTGAATCTAATCAGACATGAAGTAAAACAAAGGTATTTTTTCTAACCTAGGGTTTGGACAGGACCGAGTACTGAACCTTGAAGAACCCCACTGCTAATAATGTAATGGTTTCTTACATAGCTAACAAACATAACAAAGAACTGGTGTTCAGTTAAGATCACCTTAAACCAATTTAATATTGTTTTTTATAGGTAAGACCTTGTCAAAAACATCTCTAAGACCAAGAAGCAAAAGGTTATCAGAATCTTAATTTGTAGTTATATCAATAAGCATGAAGATGAAAGCTGGTTATTTTTGCTGTTTTGGGCCCTGAATCAGATTTTAACACTTGATGATGACTGTTTTTGTTAAAGCAATCTTTTAACTGATGAAAATTCTTGAAATGTCTGTCTTCAGTGGTGGCCTTTTGATGAAAGAACATATCTTCATTCTTGTCATGTCTGAAGGATAATAGTAAATTCATATGCGAAAACAGAACTTACTTGTGTAACTGGATAATTTCTTTGTTGTTCTGGATTTATTGAATGATCAGGGCAGTGATACAGGATTTCTTTGAAATTGATGATTTCTTAATTCATTTCTAACGAGAACAACAAATTGTGTTATAGGCCAACCGCTCCAAGTCCTACACAAAACAAAAGTACAAAACTAGAGTTAATTTGCTATTCTGCGATCGTAGGTTCATTTAAATAATTACGTTTCACACCTCTCCCACAAGATAACATGAAAAAAGGAAGGGAATAAGGGGCGCAAAAAATTTAAAGACAATACCACAGAATAAGAAATAAATAGGAGGGGCTTCCATTCTTAAAGTAACACGGTTAAAACAAAGACAGAGCTTTTAAAAGTGTTTCGGTCAGGTAAGGAACAATACGAATAACCAAAATAAATAAATATGTTTCTTGTTGTTATAACACTTGTTACACTTAAAGAAGCTTGTAGAAACTGAATCTAGCTGGTACCATAAGATAAATTTATGCTGGTTAGAGGAATAATCATATTTAAAGATTTTGTGCACAAGAAAAACGAAGTAATTCAGAAAATTAAATATAAAGTCTGAGACAGTGGTCCCACTTCTACCATGTTGCCTTTGCAAATTATAACACACAAAAAAGCAATGGTAACCAACTATACGAATTTTTACACCCGAGCCTTGTGCTTGGTTGTAATATGATAAAAATAAATATAACTTACCAAACAAAGTAGATCCCATTATTCTTCAATAAAACACAGACTCCAGTTGTCAGGGTGGTGGTAGAAATCCCAGCAGATTTCGGAAACTCGTAGAAATATGTTTGTTTTTATATATTCTAAGTTCTTTTATATATTTATTTAAGTAATGTTCTCCTTAAAGTTATGTTAACCTAAGGTAAGAATAAATGCAATGGACATTAGAAATCAGACATATAACCATTATTTTAATGGAGAGTGCAGAAGTGCAGCGTTAAAGTTTTGTACAATTATTTTGTAAAACTAACACACAGATGTTCAGATAGCTTTCATTGGTGCAAACGTATTCTGACAGCAATTGAGATTTTGTAAAAAAAAAAAAAAAGTAACCGCCATAAAGGTGGAAATTAAATCTGTTTAAATAAAATCACAACAAAAACATTTTTTTCAGAGTGACTGAATGCTCAGAGTGAACGTCAAGACAATGTTTGGTGTCACATTAAACATTAGCTGGTTAGCTTCGCTTGTGCACCGATTTACATTTAGCTTAATTAGAAATCTACAGCAGACACAAGGAAAAGTTAGTAGCAATGCCAAAAATATGCACAACACCCTGCTAGATAGTAATAATCATAAAACATAAATGCTAAACCTGCATTTACGTTTAGCATTTATGCTAAATTTAGCATTTATTCTAAGTGTTGCAACACAGTGTTAGCCACATTAGCAAAGCTAACAGAAACGTTTCACCGCTTTATGAGCAAGCAGCAGCCAATGGAGAGGAAACATAAGGCTCATTTCATCAAGACAAAACATAAATTCAGTCTTACCTTTGATGTTTTCTAGTCATAGTCCGTGTCAGAGAAAATATTTCCATTTGGCTCGGTAATCTGTTGTCCCCGATGTTTGTAAGCAGATTCTACGGACTTCGGACATTTTGCGCATGCGCACAACACTACGTGCAACTCCGTTTAATAAGTGAAACCTGGAGATGTGGGTATTATTAATTATTATTAATTTTAGTTCAAAGCGCCACAGCAAAGGGAATATAACACAGAAAAAATATATTTTAAAAATAACTCAAATACACTGTTTTTTCCTCGCTCACTCGCACAGTTGCCATAGCAACTGAGAACAACGCCATTTCACGCTTCAGGGTTCAACACCAAACCCCCCACACCCCCCCAAAAAACAAAGAAAAAACACTCAAACATTTTCCACACAAAGAACAGAACATTTAGCCCATTACAATATTGCATGTTTAGGCTCCATGTGTGTTTTTGATTATTATTAAATCATCTGTGAAATATAGCTACTGCAGTTATTAGTTAATCTGAGGTAGATTAGCTCATTTAAACACCTGCTCTACAGGTATCTGGCAGAGTTGGTGTGTAGGTCGCCTTACGTATTCTGCAGCTGAATCGAAACACGATGAATTGCACATCACATCTGCATGTAAAGCAGCTTTCGGCCTCACAGCAGAGAGAAGAAGGGGGCGGGATCTTGGACGTGTGACGTCACGGGCATTATTGACGTTTCCAGGTAATGTGTTTTTAGGAACAATTTGATGAATTGCTTTTAGTCATATGATATGTAGGGACAGTTTTCTGTGACATATTTAAAAATAATTATGTAACATAGAGTTGCTGACAAATAAAAAGTATATAAAATACTGGAAATATCTAAAAAGAACGCAGTGTTAAAGGTATGCCTTTAACAAACATACTAAGTCTTTTTTAAACATAGTAAATGACGCTGCATGGTCCGAGGTCAAGCCTCATGACCAGTTGCTGTTTTGCAAGCAGTTATTTGATCATCATCTCTGAGTTCAGAAAACTGCATTAGCTGAAATGTGTAACTATGGCCTAAAGCCGAAAGCAGTTCTTTCTCTTTTACTGTCCTTCCTCCACCTCCTGTTATTATCTACAAACAAACTTAGATCATGTTTGAGAAAATCAAAGCCTTATGCAGTTTTCCGGTGATTTATTTTGACCCAGTTGTGTAAAGTTTTCTGAGTATTTCCAATTTACTTAAAATCCTTTTAGCTAATTTGCTTGCTTGCTCTAATTAGGTTTAGCCCAGGAATAAGGCCAGGGGCTGATGGAGCAGGAGACTGGATGCAGGGTAATAACCTCTCTGCTTTTCTTTTCCAATGTGTTACCATGTCTCTCCACCCCCGCCACCACTCCACCTCGTTACTCCCTCCGACAGTCACCATGGGCTGTTTATCGACTGACTCTTCTTCCTGTTTGTGGTACTAAGAGGCTGAAATTAGATCTGCATTGGCGAGGATTTGAGATAAATTGGGCAGTGGATCGGTTCTAACTTCATTTTATCTTGGTTTGTCAAGCGGGGAGAGCAGGATAGCTCTTTATGATGCATCAGATAAAAACACCACCAGACTGACACGAATAGCACTAGGCCAAATTTTGGTCTTCTTCATTCAGGAAGCATCGCATTTAATGAGCTGACGTAATCACAGCAGAGCAATTCTCTTTGCAGAAATTCAGAGAGCTACAGGGTCACTGATAATCATATATGTGGCCCTTTGTGGTTCCCTCAGGTTGGGCAAAACAGATTTACTCCGGGGTAATTGGTCGCTCCCATTACAACTCCCATGAGAGAGGGCCTTGCTCCTTCGCTTCTTTGTACGGTTTGGAGTTCGGGGTGTGGATCTAACTCTTTTCAGCCTCCCACTTTGATCTGTCTCCAGTCCCTGACAGCCGATCCGGTAGCTGAACCTGACACTGGGTCCTGCCTCTGTAGAAATCCAGATTGGGAAGAGAAGTGCAGGTCTGAGAGGAGTGCAGCTGAATGCCAAAGTATCTGGTGTTGTATGCCAGACAGATTCCGTGACCCTTATGGTTAAACTCCCTGCAGGAGGTCAAAGCCTGTCATAAAGGATAGAAAAGCTCCTAAGGTTAACAAAAGTCAAACTTTTACTACCTTTATTGGTTTCTATGTATTTGATAAGTAAGATAAGAAAATTATTGGAGATTTTGGACATTGGATTATAATTTATATCAACAGGATATTCACATGTTTACATCTGACATCTCCCATTTACAGAAAGTCTAGTTATCAATTTAGTACATTATCGTTGAAGTGTTTATTGACTACATATTTTTATACATAATTGAAAACATAAAAGACTTGAGCATTGCATCACTGTTTGGTGCAAATTAATTGTGAACCTACTGCCTCATGTTTAAACTTCTACACTTACAGTACTTCTGGTAAATAAGAAGATGCTGCATCTTCTTATTTATTTTGACTATTTCTCATTTTCCGCAAATAAATGCAAAATTTTTACTTAGAATATCGGACACACGTTGTTAGTAGTTCGAAGAATAAAAGAGCAATGTTTATTTTACTCAAATACATACATATAAATAGTAAAATCAGAGAAATTTAAGTGATTTTTAAAAGTTTTATATAGATGTAATGTCTGCTAAAACACTGAAAATGAGTTGTGATTGGGTGTCTCATTAGGAGAGTGATCTAAAAAACATAGAAAACATGTGGGGTGATCTGAAGCAAAGCTTTCAGGTAAATTTCTCTCACTCTTTTCTTCTTTATTGTGAAAATGTCTCTGGATTTACAACCTGTGCAGATTGTACCCCGCCTTTTGATCAATGGAGGCCCAACCGACTGCAAGAAGGAGGAATCAAGTACTGACCTTGATGTTTTTCTAAATTATTTATGTGACAGAAGTAAATTTTCTCTGGTTGTAATGTTTCATGCATGAACCTTATGAAGGACTCCTTTTGCATCCCAGTCGCCTTCTCTGGCTGCCATTATCTCCGCCTTCCTGTTCGACCCCAATCGGACATAAAGGTTTTGGTATTGCTTTATTATTTTATTACATGGATCTAACTTAATGTTTAGTATATTGAACTGAAGGAGAACAAAAATATTTATGTCTTTTGAAACGTGAGCCAGATTGTGGTCATGGTTCTAACAGACCAAGTCTAACTCCTGTGGCTTGTTGCGTCTTGAAGACACAATAACTCAAAAATGATTCTGTTGCCAAAGAGATTGAGGAACAATAGTAAAGGCCTTCACATGTGATAATACAAATTCTCAGACTTAAGAGACTTGTAAACACCTATAAATCTGTCAAACTTGGTGTTGCACAATGATCTCATTCAAACAAGTAACACTATTATCCCAATATCATTTGAAGTGTCTCAACATCAACAGTGTGATGCGTAGTTCAAATAAATCTGAAATCTTTGATCTGTAAGCATCTCCTTCTAAATTTGCTGTTAATATCAAACATATACCGAATATTTTGACATCTAATGAACTTTTCATATTTTTGCATTTGTATTTTTCCTGCAGGGGATTGTGTAAGTATTGCTTTCCTGCACATGGAGCTCACCAGCATGCAAGAAACCCATGCTATTGGAGACACCAGTAATAAAAGACTGGAGAAAAGCCTTTTAAACAGTATCTGCTTAACAAAATCCTTGAAAGCACTGTTGTTGTGTAATGAGTTGCTTGTTTTTCAGCCACCTTTGCCCTTGTCAATGCTGCTGGTTTGATCTGACATTTTGTTCCTGCAGAAAAGATCAAAACACGCCTTGCACTCTTGACTCAAGAGGTTCCCAATCCAGTTTCGGAAACTCACAAGCAGACAAGCTGCGACGCATTCTGCCTCAGGTCAACAATGCAGCGCGTGTTGACCCACTAGGCCCCTGACTGTCATCACAAAACATGATCAGGCTTGAGAGATACAGTGAAAGCTGTCAGATTTATACATACTGAGAGGAATTACTGTAAATCTACATCACAACACAGTTTAGATGTGTTTTAGTTGCATTTATAAGCCAAAAATTATTGGAATTATAGCTTGACATGGGTTGCATCTTAACATTTTAGAATATTGGTACGTTTATTTCAATATTTAAATTAAAGAAGTCACAAAATATGGGGAAAATTTATTGTTATTACTGAAACTGTAACTTTTTTAATCATATTAAAATTTATTAACCGTTTTTATCCCAAATTTAAATGTCCGCCTGGATATGTTTGCTAATTTCAATTGTACGCAGTTCTTTAAATGTCCTGTGAGTAAATATATTTGCCCATTTATTCATAACAACTGGAACTTTCAATATCAAGCAAGTTATTTTCGCAATTTACTGTCAATTAAAAGATGCTTTGGTATAAATGACAGTATCTGCTTCCTTTATTCACATTTCTGTCTCAACAGGGAACAATATTATGTGATAACAAACGCAACATCGGATAAGAGAACATCCGAGTGAAGCTTTCTTTCTATTATCTGCAGATGAATGTGGGAAAGCGCCATGTCCTGCTAGAGAGCGGCATCTTTTTTTTAGGAGTACAGTAATTTGCTCCTGTTAGCCTTTTCCGCATCCAGAGTGCAATATTACATCACTCCATTATTTAGAGGCCATATCAATGTGACATCATGACCATCACTCTATACCTGCATTCACCACAGAGACAAGTTGCTGCAATCAAAACCGGAGCCCATGTATTATATGAGATGCAGAACATTGGTGCTTGTCCTTGGCTGTTCTGGTGACTGATCAGATTTCAGGCAACAGAATATGGAGACCAAAGTTTCAGTTTGCTGATGCTTTTTCTCCAAAAAAGCAGCTTACAGTAGATTCCTATGGCAGTATTTTTGCTTAAAAAATGAGGTTGATGTCTGACGAGAATTATGTTAAGATGCTTCTGAAACTTTTTCATTGTCACTTGATTCACAATCTTTCTGATCTCACTGCTCATCAATCACATGAGATTTTGGTTGCTTGCCTCCATAAGCGCCACACTGGAACAAAAAGATTATTCTTTATTGTTAATTTTTTTAAAATGAAAATATAATGTCAGCTGACATAATGTCAGCTTGGCTGACTACAAGCTAATGCTAACAACAAACTTATCATAAGTTTGAAGAGGTTTAATACATGCATCACTGTCCAAATAGTGTGAATATCTATCGAAAATATTGATTAAGAAACACAAGAAAGATGCGAAAGATTGAAATATTTAGAAAAAGACACAGAATTGAGTCAGTGTTGACTTATGCATTGCTTTCAAGAAATTGTGCAAGAAAATCATCTTCTATCCATCTGGTTCTGGTTCTGAAATTTGACATCCAGCCACGCAAAAATGCCTCTGAAATTATCGCGACATGTCACAACCATAAGCCTCTGGTAATATTAATGAATCTCAGGCAATGCAGTGTTGAAGCTCTGTATGTCCTGATAAAGATTCACTCACCTCAGCATGATGAATGCTTGTTTTCTGATAAAGAAGCTCATAATTTGTATCGTTTGTGTAAGATTTAAGGTGGGTTTTTCCACGTTTGATGATTGCAGCAGTGAATACTGGTTAATTGGCTCAAACCGAGAAAAAACGTTTGTCTCAAAGAATTCAGTTAGTATTTACTGAAAAACATTTATATTAAATATATATGTCCTATTTATGTTTAGAAATATAACATATTTTTCACA